AATACTACTGCTTCTCACGATAGCCCTTACATTACCGTTAACTAAAAATTGAATTTTGTCAAATATTTAGATTGCTTAATGAATATTTACAAACGAAAGTCAATATAATTTTTTGCAAATATGTATATATTCTTCATTCTCAATAAGTGGAAAATTTCAGATTCGTTACGTATTTTCACCGAAAATAGAATCACTCTTCATACATTCTCACTAATAATATTCACTGATGAACTGCAATTGTCAACAACATTGGATGCTGACATCTAGTCAGCGCGTTTACCTTTGGATAGATACTCATGTGAGGAAACTAGTAGATAGTAAATGTTGAACATTTGTGTGCAGTTTTGAGATATTTTTAATGGAGTCAACAATTCATTTGTTTACGTCTAATATGAAAAGCTTAGAAGATTTTGTTCATAACTTTAAAAATTCATTTAAAAATATTTGCCTTTACACTTAACTGTTATTCTTTCTTCAGTTTTTATTTTTCACTATTTGTTGTTTACAATTTTTATTTAAAAAGTATTTTAAAAATCTTTTTTTTTTGGTTCAGTAACGGTTTGCATTTAAATATTAGCATCACGAATAGATTTTGCCAAAAAATTCAGCCACTAAAAGCAACAACATTAGCATAAACTATGCTGAGCTATTTGAGCTGGAGGCCAGCTTTTCCCTAGCATTTTAAACGTTTCTCAAGATTTATTATGTTTTGCTTTGACTGAATGATAAATTAAAAATTTAGTTAATTAATACTGCTAGTAGAGACCCATCTATACTTTTTTATGGTTACTAGAATATTGTAATTTTTTTTAGTTTATAGTTTTTACAAAATATTTTTATTTGAATTTTTTCTTTTAATTTTAATTTTCTTACGAACTCCGAGAAAGTTAGGAATTTTTATTTACCTGAAAAGAAATAGAAAGAAAGATATTATTAATTAGTTAATTGAAATAAAATATTGCTTTTAATTTTACTATAACTATTACTATTTTACATTTATTATAATAATAAAATTCCAAGTAATTTAGGTTATCTAACATTAAATGCATGAGAATGAGGTTTAGTTATACAGATAATATAGTCGACTATTAATGGAATATAATAACACTTAATTAATTTCTAAAATCATTATCACCATTCACCTTTATAGCTTACATTAGACTTTGCCCTGGCATTTGTTCATTTGACAACGATTTTTTGTTTTTTTTGAGACCAAATATGTTGTCATCAGTTAGACTGATTTACTCTATAGTGCACTGATTTACTCTACTTAAAAATAATTCTCATAGCCACTTTTTTTTACAACAAGTCGTTTTTGGCAACAATAGCTTGATGTAGAGATTCTACAACTTTGGTGAACCTTGAAATTAATTACGTCGAAGTGGCCTCACCAAAAGTATATACTAGTATTTCAAAAGAGTTTAATATTGAAAAATAGTTCAAAGAATTGAGTGTAGTTCCAGCAGTATTTTAAAGCGTATATAATGTATAATGAGAGAGCATAACTTGTAAGGATAATATTCCACACCTTGTATTTTGAAAGTTCAAAAATGTTCAAAATTGTTAAATAATTTGAAATCGATAGCTGATAAAGCAAAATAGAAAATAGTTTCAGTCATAGCTCAATTGTTAAGAGAGTTA